ACCTCACTGGATTATAGTCTTCAGTGGTTACAGGAGAACACACTGGCACTGGAAAAGGGGTGAGAAAGTTTGCCCAGAGATCACAGGAAACCCCTATTCCGCACAGCAACACAGCAGGTAATCCAAGGAATCAAAGAAACTGGATACAAATTTTAAGTTATCAGAACGCCAGGGAAAGAAAAACTTCCCATCACTTTGTTAGCGACTATGGTGGTTTCATCTTCACTGTCAACTTGAACGGATCTAGACTCACCATGGAAATGCCCCTGAGAATGTCTACAAAGGTGTTCCCAGTAAAGTTTAACCATTCACTCCCCAAGTCCTACCAGAGGGTGCAACGACAGTTGCTTCATGTTCCTGCCACAATGGACTGTACATTCAAACTGTGAGCCAAATAAACCTTTCCTTTCTTTCTCTCTCTCTCTCTCTTTTTTTTTTTTTTTTTTTTTTTTTTTTTTTGGTTTTCCGAGACAGGGTTTCTCTGTGTAGTTTTGGTGCCTGTCCTGGATCTCGCTCTGTAGACTTAGGCTGGCCTCGAACTCACAGAGATCCGCCTGCCTCTGCCTCCCAAGTGCTGGGATTAAAGGCGTGCGCCACCACCGCCCGGCAAACCTTTCTTTTCTTAGGTTGCCTTTGTCAACTCCTTCATTACAGAGATGAGGAAAGTAGTTTACATACAAGTCCAACTTAAAAACAATTTCAGGTCAGATGGAAGTTCTTAAATGTTTCCTATAAAACTAAGATAAAGGAGCCCTCAATTCTTAGGACTGGAAATGTTTACTATTCACTAATGCCAAAATGCTATTGTGATTTAATATGAAGTCACAGAATAAAACTCTAGAACTTCCCATACACTCAGGCTAGATTTGCCATTAGCTTTTGCTTGAATTATCATTTATATTCTTGGATCTTTTCGAAGATCAGGTTTTCACATGTGTAACTTACCAAGGTCATACTAAACTAACTCTGAATCCACATAAGAATGATAGGTTTCAAGTTTTTTTTGGAATATTACCTAATATTATTTCACGGTTTTTTAGTTGTTTTTTTTTTTTTGCTAATATTTGGAATATTAGCAGCTACAGCATCTCCAGGACCACACATCTTCAAGTACTCACCAAGGTCACCTTGTACTAACTTCTGTATATATAAAGTACAACTAAAGGGTCCATATGGACAACAAATGATAAGGTTTTGTGGTAGGGATAATACAGGAAACCCTTAGGAGGGAAAATTCTGGTGAGGAGGTAGGTAGGTAAGCAACAATGTACCTCCCCTAGTACTGGGGATTAAACCTAGGGTCTTGCATGTTGGACAAGTGCTCTAACCACCTAAGCAACACCCAGGCCCTCTTTCCTTCCTCCATTTTGCCTAAGCTGGTCTCAAACTTTCAATCTTCCTGCCTTGACCTCCTGAGAACCGAGACTGCAGGCATGCACTCCCACTCCTGGCTTATCTGTGCTTCTGACCACTCTCAGTCTCTTCTATATCCAGAACTGCACAGAATTAACAAAATACAAAGCCAAGAGGTTAAAAGGCAGGCACATCATTTAGCCAGTATAAAATTCTTACACTTTTTTACATTTTGCTATTCCTAAGAGGGTCTCCTACAGACTAGGCTGTCCTCAAACTTGCCACGGTCAAAGATGAACCTAAATTCCTGGTTCTTTTGCCTCCATTTGCCAAATGCTGGGATTTCAGGTCTGAGTCACCATACCTGGCCAACTTCTTATGCTGTTCTTTTAAACTTGAGATTAAACGTGTACAAAGTATCTGGGCATCCTAGAAACGGCAATCAAATTCAGGGTACTAGTTAATCAAATTCAGGGTACTAGTTAAATCTGACTATTCACGCCCATGGACTTTAAGCAGAGGCAGATGACAGGATGACTTTTCATCTAAGGACCCCCATAATCCCAGCATTTCAGAGACAGAGTCAGGAAGACCTAGAACCCAAAACCAGTCACAGCAACACAGTGAGTCTGAGCCAGTACAGGCTAGATTAAGACCCCACAGTAGAGTGTGATTGGTTAGCATACACAAGTCTCTGAGTTCACTCTCAACTCCCAAAAACAACAAAATTTACTCTTCAAAGTAGCTCTGCAAATCTACAAACAGTGTATCACTTGGGGAGGAAAGAAAGGGGACTCTTTTTATGACATCTAGATTAACAATTTTAGCCTTGTGACAGACTAACTACACTATCCTTTTCTTTTTGTTGCAGATCAATAACCATTTCACCAGAAACCACTTAAGACTATAAACTTAAATTCTAACTCAGATGGCGAGAGATTCATTAATAATTACCTCCAATGAGAATTCTATCATTTTGATAAAATTTTCACCAAAAGATTGATCAAATTTAATGTACAAGGATCCCCTGGAAAGTATCAGAACTTGCAACATTGCTAGAAATTGTGATCTGCTCTGCAAATTGTGCAATGAAGTACAATCATTAAATGGGCAAACAATGAACTGACACAAAATCCTACTAATCAATAAAGTGATGCTAAACTTACATTTCAATATCTTTTCTATCACATATACATATATGTGAAAATAATCCCACACAGCAAATCTAGAAATGTATATAAATCAAAATGTCTGTAGTAGTCATGTCTGTCTGGAGGGTCTCTTCCTTTCATACCTATTTCCTAATTTTCCCACAATCAGTACATGCAATGAAATAGTTAACAAACCTACTGATGACCAAGAGTAGATGAAGACAATGTGTTAAGGCTTTCAATCTTTTGTTGCTCAGAAATACCCTAGAGATAAAATTTAGATTACAATTTCCCTAAGCCCAACAGAAGCATATTAATTGAGTCTAGGTGTAGTGGTACACATGCTTGTGGTCCTAGCTACCTGAGCAGTGGTGAGAAGCTTGCTTAAGGCCATGCATGGATACCAGCCCGACAATACAGTAGACGTCTTCAAAATCCAAGAATTAAGGTAAGTGTCTTATTTATAGACAGAAGGCACAGTGGCTTCTGTTGGGAAAATATTTCCACAGCTTTGAGACCAAGTACCATTGTCATTTAAAGCAAAAAACTATTTGGCTAAAACCAATTAGCATTATTTTGTTTACGTATATATGTACCTTTCTAGTATACGTTTGTTTTTAAAGAGTTCCCATGTTAGTCTCCAACTCTGGGGCTCCAGTGACACACCTTTTTAAGCTTCCCAAGTGGAGGGACAGCAACCCTGAAACATCACGCACAGTTCACATGTACTTCTGAAAACATCCAAAGCACATGTATTAACTTTGTATTTTAAATATTAAAAGTACACATAACCAAAGTAAAGGCTAAAATGTTTAAGTATTTCCTTATCTGACTAAGTTAGAGCCCACTTTCCTCTGTCTGCAACAGAAAACTTGCCCAATTATAAAAGCTTGTTTAATTATAAAGGTAGGTCACTTCACAATGTGTTTAAAAGGAAGCTGATTACATCCCCCCAAAAATTATTAACAGTTAAATTTCTCCCAGACTAATCTCCAATAATGCCCACATAAATAACTAACAGGTGAACTTTCCTTTAAAATTCATTTACAAATGCCTGCTTCTCAGAACACTGTATTCTCAATTTCTAAAAATTATTTATGTTTAGCAAGCTGAGTGCCACAGGCTTGCCAACTCTCCCCTAGTAATTAAGAACTGTCCTTAACACTGAAAGTTGAGAACAACGCATCTAAGTCCTGTTGGGTTTTCTCTTTTTGATACAATGCCTTGCAACAGAGCCCAGACTACCCTCAAAGTCATGGCAATCACCCTGCCCAGCCTCTTGACATCTGGGATGACAGACGTAAGTATCGGCTTTAGTAAGAACTCCTGTCAGGTGTGGTAGCAGCGTGCCTGCCTGTAATCTCAGCAGTGGGGAGGCCAGTTTAGGGCTAAACTGTCACCTAGGATTTTTTCGGCATCCTGCCCCACTATTCTTGGAAACAGTCTCATTTTATGTGGTCCAGGCTGGCCTTAAACTTACACCAAACAATCCTCCAGCCTCGGCTTCCCAAATACTAGGATTACAGGTGTGAGCTACATAGACTTTTTTTGGCAGGGGTGTAGTGGGGGTGTAGTGGGGGCTTACAGGTGTACACCACCACACCCAGGCCAGAAATTCTTTCAGTTCTCATACAACTTTCACCAAAAGTTGAGCCCAACCTTTTCTTTATTGCTGTCACTAGCTGAATCAGTTATTCAGAAATATTTGCCAAGATTAACTCAATAAAACTGTAAGGTTAAAAAAGTGGGTCTGCTTTGACAAGTTCTAGAAACACAATGTTGAAAACCATAGGACTTTATGAATGAAATCAAGGAATAACAGCTTGATGTATTATCTAAGTGGCTTTTAAGTAATAAAAATAAATTCTTAAATCATTGTTCATCTCTAAAAAGATGATTTTTAACATCTTAGGAAATTTTCTATTTCCTACAGAATTACTTGAACTGAAACATAAGTAAACTATATCCATGTTTCAGTTCAAGTAATTCTGTAATGATTACTACTCTAATTCACAGGGTAATAGAAATTAAGAGAAAAGCACTCTGTAAAAGCACCGCTCAAAAAAGTGCTCTCAACAACCATTTTCCTATCTCACTCACCAAAGGCACTTTCTGGCTTTTGACAAGATACTAAAAAGGAAATAAAAACTTGTTGGCTACAGGAGGTTGAGGTAACGGGTGCACAGAAAATGACCCAAGGCAAGGGTTTACTCCGTTTCATCACCTTTAACGTCTACGTAAAGGACCCCAAGTTCAAAAGCTGAAAGATCAGACCAACTGCAAAAGCATTCATTATACATTAACCATCTGGGTAGCACACTTGGTTGGGAAGAAGTCCTGCAACAAATGTATTACCAAATTTAAAGCCTTTAGCACCACCATTCTAAAGCTCCGAGGTTGGTTTGCAATTTGTAATCCCAAAATTCCAGGTACCAGAAGACCCTTTTGCCCAATTTATGATTCAAGCCTCATCCCAAAAAACAGTTTGAAAGGCAGTAAGTTTTCTCAAGAATTTTATATCCAAATACAGATAAAGCAGGAGATAAACACAATGCAGTACAATATATATTCAACACCCCAGCAATAATTTTGAAATCAAGAAACCCTCTTTTTACAAAGCCATCTCCTTCCCACTCCAGTTAATTGTTCACAAATACAAAGTACACAGAATATCTGCTTTATATAAACAAAGTCAAAACCAAACATGCAGATATGCCCCATTATGTACTTTATACCATCAAGAAAGCTGTACCACCAAATCTTTTCAATAAGATTCTACCTCTCATAGCTTTTGAGTAAACTGTTAGTATCTTTCTATATTTGTTTTTCTAATGATAGACCCTCTTAGCACAGGAAACACTTATGTGCATGCTCACAGGAGTTTATACAACTTTGGAATTTAAGGAGGATTTCTAACTACCTTTGACTATGTGAAACTGTGATAAAGGAGAGTTACTTTTTAACCCTGAGTGCCACTTGATGCCTCTGACAGAGGAAAAGGACAGAAGGGAGGAAGGAAGCCAGGGAAAAGAGAGAGGGAAGGAAAAGTTAGCAGGACTAGGCACAGTGGCTCAGTAATTCCCACACTCAGGAGGCTGAAGCAGAAGGACCACTGCAGATCTGAGGTTAGCCTGGGCTATAGAGTGGACCCTGTCTCCAAATGTAAAGAGAACTTAGAATGTAACTGTAAGGTGCTTGCCTACCACTGAACAAAGCCCTGGGTTTGAGCCTCAGCACAGCACAGCCAAGCATGGTTGCTCATGTCTGTTACCTTAGCACTCAAGAGGTGGAGGCAGGAGTATCAAAAAGTCTAGGTCATCCTCAGCTATACAGTGAGTTCAAAGCCAGCCTGGGCTACATGAGATCCTGTAACAGAAAAATAAAAAGGAAAAAGAAAAGAGAAGAAAACAAGGTTGATAAAGTGTTTGGGGGCTACTGGAATTACCAGGAGCACAAAACACCTGCAGATGCCACCTAAACATTCTTACAAATGTTCCTTTTCTGCAAGTCTACCAGGAAACTGTTTCACATTTAGCTGCTCTGAAGAAGGTACTGGCTAAAGGACCCTATGTGGCTTTAGCCATGAAGGATACCACATTCTGTGTCTCCAGTGCTCTCCACCAGTCCCAAGGTCTCTCTCACTGTTTAAGCTGCCCCAGGAAAGAAATGCAATGCTGAGGTCTTTCTTGGGCTTAAATTATTTCGATAATTTCTGGTCTACTGCCATAACCTTCAGGTGATGGCCACATAAGCAATATACTTTTGAGTCACAGGAATCAACACAACTTCATGCATAACTTACCCTCTCTGTAGTTTAATTTCCTTCATTTCTGTCCCCTACAGGCTGCTCTTTACAGGTCTGAAGCCAGACAGACCTCATGACAGTCTTAGCTTTGCGTCTTTCAGTTCTTCTGCCTAAATGAATGTCTGTTTCTCCAGCAGACCAGCTATACTAACATCCTCCAAAGTTCCTCTGAGCCAGTTGGTAGAAAGGCTTTCCTGACCTCTCTAGGTGGCCTTTTTCCCTACAATGTCACCACAGGCATTCCTGAATAAAGTAGCAACTACAGTGTATTGGCACTCAAAAGAATACCTGGCTCTTTCTTGGCTTTTGTTTTGAGACAGAGTCCCATGTGAGAATTACTCCACAGCCAGCCCTCAGTACACCCAAATCTTTCTCAGTCCTTGCCTGCACACAGTGGATATTATTGATGTGTGACTGATGGGCTGCTGCTCATGCCCCAGTGGATGCCCCCACACTTATGTACATGGTGGCATATACACCCATGGGCAGCATTAAATGAAGGCAGTGGGACTTTGTAAAACAGCCATTAAGTTGGGAGGGAGATGTGTTTAGGGAGGTCCAGGAAAGTAGGAGGGAGTGTGGGTGAATAGAATCAAGATACATGGTATACATGTATGAAACTTTCAAAATAAAAAAAAGAAAAAGTGCATTTCTATACCCAGTATCATCCCATTCATGGGAAATCTAAGAATGCAGAACACCAAAATTATTTATAAAATTAAATCTGCATCGGGCTTTAGTGTTCTTCAAATTATCTCCAGCTATTACTTTATTTGTCTGGAGGCAGGGTCTATGTAGCCCTGGATGTCCTGGAACTCCGCATTGGGCTTTAGTGTTCTTCAAAGTGTTTGCAGCTATTACTTTATTTGTTTATTTACCTGGAGGCAGGGTCCATGTAGCCCTGGATGTCCTGGAACTCACTATGTAGACTAGCCTGTCTCTACCTCCCAGTGCTGGCATGTAAAGGTGTGTGCCACCACACCCAGATAGTACCCTGAAATAGGGAAACGGAAGCTGAGACAATAGGTGACTTGCTAACACTGAAGTCAGAGCCTTTAGTGTTTTAAAAATCAAATCCTCTGCACCATTCTACCTGTTTCACTAAACAAAAACAGTACAGGAAAGTGAGTGCTAAGAACTATGATGAAATTGACGAGTGCTGCACGTGACTGGGCTATGAGTAAGTGTGGAGCAGAAGCTGTGAGCACTGTGAGAATAACCTTGGTCCAGAACCTTGATGAAAAGTGAAGACTGTCTCTCATCTGAAAGGTGAAATAACTAGAAATTAGTACCAAGTACTAACAAGAGTGCATGTATAGCCATAAACAGGAAAGGATCTGCCCATCAAAGACACAGCAGCATGTGACCTGAGGGAGTCTGCATCCAAGTGGAGGCACACCGTTTGAACAAATCACTTAATGACACATCTGCACAGAGATGAAGGTAGCTAAAGAATGCTTAGTACATACAGGATACACATTCTGTCCTTGCCTTTCTTTCCAGACAGGTAGCTGACAATTAAATCCACTGCAATTAAGATTAAGGTGGTCTAACCACTCACAATACACAGAGCTATTACACAAGAAATATAAACACACACACACACACACACACACACACACACACACACACAATTCTGTGCTAAGAATCTGAATGAGTCTATTTACATATTAAATATATTTTACTTAAGATAATACGGAATGGGCTGCATTCCAAACAGGAAAACTGCCACAAAGAAATAGGGTTTTGTTATTGTTGATTTAATTTTTTTCTTGATACAGGGTTTCACTATGTAGCCTAACTTGGCCTGGAACTAGCCATATAGACCAGGCTGGCCTAAAACTGATAGAGATCTTCTGCCTACGTCTGCCTCCATAATACTGGGAATTAAAGGTATGGGCCACCACACCTAGCTAGCAATGAAATGTTTTTTCAAACAAGACTTGGAATCCTAGCACTTAAGGCAGGAGGACTGTAACAAGTTCTAAGCCAGCCTGGGCTATACAATGAGACCATATATGAACCTCCCCCCGCCACACACACTAAGAACATCAGTGACAACAACACATCCTGTGTCTTAAAGACCAAGGGTAATTTCATTCCATTATTATTCAGGTCAGTGCTGCTTCACTGAACTGAAAGCACAGTAAGGTACTTAACACAGACAGAGAATTAGAAATGCAAAGAGTGTGAATCAGTCATCACAGATAAAAGTGGGAGTTCTGTGTCCCTTCCCAACGAATGCTGTGAAAGCCACTCTTACAGACAATGAAAGAAAACAAAAGGCATGGCATATAGTTCATGGGGTAAGAAAGCACATGAAAAGCTAGCCTTGTAGAAGGACTAACAGAATCGCTAACAGAGCAACACTTGAGGCATTTACAGTTAAAGTAGAATTTTTAAAAGATATCACCAAATATACATTTACTTTCACTTATACCAAAGAGAAGCGTCAAGAATACTAGACACACTGTAATACTCAAAAAAACAAAATCTAAGGTCTTCAAAGTTCTAAGACAAACCTGAGAACTCTGACCTTGAAAAATCCAATAAACCATCTGCAATAGTTCCATCAAAAAAACCAGTAAAGCCCTTAAAACCCAAAGATTGGCTAACTTTAAACATATCAGAGCTATACTATAAATTAATTTTATGATAATAAATTTAACCATTAACAATATATACAGAATGCATCTGTGAAGAATACACAATGGCTCACTCCTGTAATTCCAGTACTTGGGAAAGTGAGGTGAAATTGTCTTAAAGTCAGAGCCAACTTGGACTATAGAGACACTATATCAAAAGACAAAAACAACAACAAATATATATATATATATATATATATATATATATACACATATACACATTTGAATTAAGAAAATGCCATTAAACAAAAGACATTTTTTTAAAAAAAATCAATGAAAGTTCAATAGTCAAGAAGCACTTCTGAGAATGGACTGGCTAAGGGATATTTTTTCTTTTTGAGACAATGTCTCATGTAGTCCATGAGGGCCATTAATTCTATAGCTAAGACTGACCCTGAATTTCTGATTCTCTTGCCCTACATTCTAAGTGCTGGGTTTAAAGACATACTATTACCGATTGATGCAGTACTGGGGTCTGAACCCAGGGCATCCCACACATTGGGCAAGTACTGTTCCTACAGAGCTTATTCTCAGCCCCTGTATTTTTTAAGGATTTTAGGAGAAACTAAATACATTCTTACCACAAATGCTTATGACTATTAAACATACAAATTAAATAACATTTAAAACAAATGAACATCAAAATCTTGGCTAGAAGGACAAAGTGGCTCACACTTCGTAATTCCAGCACTTAGGAACATGAAATAGGATTGTAGGGTGGTTGGGGGGAAAAAAGAGAGAAGGAAGGGAGGTGACGGGAGAGAGATGGGGAGGAAAACTTGAGCAAGCAAGCAAGGCAGAGAGAGGTGGGGAAATGGCTCAATAGATAAAGTGCTTGCCACATAAGTATGAGGACTCAAGTACCTTAGTACCATGTAAAAGGCTGAGCACAGTGGCACGCATCTGGAATATAGAGCATGAGGTGGAGTGGGCAGAGAATTCCTGAACCTCGCTGGTTAACTAGTCTAGCCAACCCTGTGAACTCAGAGTTCAGTAAAAGACCCTGTTTCAAAGAAAGAAAAAGAAGTGAAAATAAGGAAGACATCTGATATCAACCTCTGGCCTCTACATGCTGTAAGAACACACACTCACCACACACACACATATACCATGCACACACATTTCTGCTAAGTATACAATGGCAGAATTAAAAATATCATCAAGAAGATTAAGAGAAAATCAAGACTTCCTTTTGGAAAGAGATTCTGGGTAAAGACAGATCAGTATCAAAAACCCTCACCAAGATCACATGATAAAAGCCCAGCATGGTGTCATACCCCTGAAGTCCCTGTCCCCAGGAGGTGAAAGCTGGAGAATCATGTTTGTGGCAGCTTGAGCAGCTACCAAAAGGCCCTCTCAAGACACAACTGAACTGTGACCACCTCTACATCCTACAGGAAGTGAACATAAACTCCAGTACTAAGATCTCAAGCATTACAAAAGTGCATTATAATAAAGTTAAATAATGACACAGGAGTACAAAAAGGGACTCCACTAACAAGAGAAAACAAATTTAATAAAATACCATTCTCAATCATCCAGGAAACTCCATAGATTTTAATGGTTTATAAAACTTGTTCATAATGAAGAAAAAAAAAGATTTGCATTCAATACAGTAATCAACATTCACTTACTGATAACTTCCTCCTTTAAATTTTAAGTGAAAAGAACTGACTAGTTGTATGTCCACTAAAAACCATACAGAATCAATCTGACCAACCGAATGACATGCATAAGATATATCCACACTAACAATCAGTTATTGGTCTAGCCACCAACATTAAGTACATCAGGGTAAATTTCAAAAACAGGGAAACTAGACAGTGCAAAACTGGGGCAAAATATGCCTCACATTGAAGAAAGAAAAGTTATTTGTTATTGCAATCTTCTACTTCTAAAAAGATCTAACCCATAATATTTCAAGCCTTCAGCAGAATCCCAGTTAAACTATACCTTCAAGAATGATGAATGTGTTGCTAACCTTTATGTTCACCCTTATTAGTATCCAATTCTACAGTGAGCGGGAATTCTGGACTTTGTCTTTTCAACCTCCTTGCTTACAATACCTGAGAGGTATATATCCTGGATGTATATATCAGGCCCTTAAGGACATTATCAATCAGGTCACTTAGGTATAATGCAGTAAAGTAGCCTGAAAGAATATATACTGCCCTCAAAATGGCACTTTGAAGGCTAAGTAAATAAATGCAATTATACTGATAAAGAAGCTGCCAGTTTAAAAAGGGGAAAAAAAACAAAACTAATTATACTGACAAGGAAGCTGCCACAGACTACTATATATGAGTATAGAGTGCCATCAACTTTACTGTCTAAAATGTCCTTGCTTCTTCTATCCCAGTAAACACATCAAGCACATAAAAGTTGTTTTACTATGGCTATGAACAAGGTTAGATGTGAGACAAACGACTCAATCAGAAAATCTAGAACATGCAAAGAAAAAAGAGTTACATTTATGTCTAGAAACAGAGCCAATCACTAAAACCTAAAAAGAACTGTGACATTAATTAAATAGAGATTTATTCTATAACCTTCTGAAATTAGCAACAGTGCTATAAAGAAAACAAATTAGCATTCAGAAGTACATTTAAATAGTGCAATTGTACAGATAATAAAGATAATAAACTAAGTAAATCACTGTACAGAAGTCACATAAATACCACATCAAGGGTTAGGTCTTAAACAGAAGAGTGAAATTTAAAAAGGCACTTTATATAACAATAAATGGAAATAGTATTTCTCTATACATAGTAACTACAAAAAACATATTGTCTTCAAATACATCTTATGTCTAGTCAAGAAATGACATTTTGAAGGAAAAGATCACTAAACACATCTCTTTTGAAAAAACCAAATCATTAAACTTTTAAGTATTTCAAGGTGTCTAAAAAAGCTAGTGATATTCTCACTCAGAAGTCAATCTAACAGGAAATTCTGTTGCAGGTTCTGCACATGGCAGACACAATCTAAATGTTTATCTGGTTAAACCTAAATGCTATATTCTACTGGACTGTCTACTGGGGTTGTCTCACTAGACCAAGTACCAACTTTTACTTTTATAACACCATCATCAACATTCAAGTATGCCAGAGGTTTAAAATTAAAAAAAAAAAAAAAAAAAAAAAAAAAAGATAAGCAGGTGAAGGATGCTGGAATAGTTCTGAGTCAAGTAGCTACAGCTAAGAGTGCTCCCACCCTACCATACTCTGTCCACAAATGACTCAACTGCCAAATACTTCTTAGCTTGTCTGTTTGATCACCAATCTGGTGGTTTCCTGACACTTTTCACTTCCAGGAAAACTGAATTCTCTAGAGTTGCTTGGGCTTACCAATAAGTGGTTCAAGCAACGTTACTTTTACCTCATTAATGAATAATATAAACATCTCAGATGAGGGTAGGGCTGTCCTGAAATTTTAAGAGTGTATAATAATGTGAAAATTATTAAAGTGCTAAATTTTATGTGCTTTTTTGCTTGCTGTCTACTAAAATTTAAAGCAGGGATGGGCACAAATAAATTAGGTAGGAATGCCAAAACAGTTTCAAAGAATACATCGTCAAGCATTATTGATTTTTGTTTCATTTTGAACAACAGGAGTATCTCATAAATCGTATGTGATATATAGCATCTAATTCAGGGCAAGATGGAAAAGAAGGAACAATCTGAAGCAGCCTCAACTAGTCAGAAACGTGCACCTTTCCCCGGTGAAGTCTGAGTGGCTACTCCTTTCTCAGAAGACACTGCACTGCTACCAGTCCGGGCTTAAGCCTACTACCCCTTCGAAGAGCATTTATGAGAAGCTACAAAAGTCTGTTTTTCTGGAGTTCATCCGAGAGACACCTTAGAGAGCCCTGGTACGAACCTAAGGAAGTCAAAGTAAAGTTTTGTTGACCACACAGAAAAATAAGGTAAATATTAACCCTAGATACAATCCGGTTAAATTTGCTAAATGATCATAATAACTAGTTCAGGTTTAGTCTACAAAGACAACAAATAGGACCAATATAGTACACTGAAATTATCTGACAAAGTAACTTCTTCCAAGTTGGGAAATCCGTGCCTTCAATCTATACGGCACAAATGAAAAGAGGCAGCCGGGCCTGGTGGCACATGCCTTTATTTCCAGTACTCTGGAGGCAGAGCCAAGCAGATCTATGGGTCCAAGGCCAGCCTGGTCTACATATCAAGTTCTAGGTCAGCTAGGTCTATGTAGTGAGACCTTGTCTCAAAAACAAGAGGAAGAAATGTAGATTAAGCAGAGTGCTGAATATAGGTATGAATGAAGGAATGAGTTGTCTAATGAATTACAAAAAGGTGAGCGTCACAGAAAATGTCAACCACTAAGATGCAAGAATCATGGTAAGAAACAGAAACCACATAAATTCTTAAGACAGTGCTATATTCCACTAATAGTATACCTAAAACATTTTGATCAAGCAGATTAAAAATTAAGAAAAAGCAGGTGTTTGAACAACCAAGAAGTTACATAATTACATTTTGAGAAAAAATTATTTTTTGGCTGCCAAGTTACATCAGGTGAAGTGTTCAGACCTCCTCAAACTTGACACTTTTTCTACTTTAAAAGTCATGCTGTGAAGAGAAGGACACAGGGGCTGGTATATTATACAGCCATTGCCTTGAGATTAAAGATGACACTGTGGGACACTAACATAACTGAGGTATCTGCTGCCAGCTCCAGAAAGATGGAGATTCATTATTGGGAGCAAAATGTAAATCATCTCTTAGTAACAGTTAGTCCAGTTGGATTACATGACAAATTAACCAAGTTAACCAAGAATATGTCACTGAAGTCTTGATTCCAACCTTTCAAGAATTCAATAAAAAGATATTATCATCTAGATATCCAGAAACAGCTGTGTATCTTGAAAACACCCAGTCACACTTTACATCTCAAGGATTTCTCAACGAAGTCTAGACTAATGACATCCCTCTTTATTTCAAGAGAGAACAGATTGTCAGGCATGTTTGGAATTCTTGCTCTTAAAGAGTTCAGATTTGCATGCCTGGATGATGGGAATAATATTTTGTATTTCCAGGGCCATGATGATGCATTTGTCTATTGTACTGAGAATGTAACGTACTACCAAGCTCAAAAGAATCAACGGTTTTGAAGACAAGTTTAAGAAGGCCATCTCATTGAAAGGCCCACATTAGAGAGACTTTGATGCCTGAGTCTCTGGGTAGTTGATATAAGAGCTTGGTAAGTCATGGACTACTAGGATTGATGGCCAAGGAAGCTATCTCACATGCAGCGTTATGAGTAGTGATGGTGTGGTAGCCATCATAGTCAGGATGAAGATAGTTTAACTTTTCTACAGTGATGTTACAGGTAGGAAAATATTTTTTCCATTTTGAGTCCAAAAGTAGACCTGTGACATTTAATCATCCCAGTTAGAAGTAAACTGGATTTGGCAAAATTTTTAATGAATTCCAGCAGACATATAGCTTCATGGCTAATTCTGAAGTCTCACAGACCTTGATAATAGTATGAACTATGGTGAGCTGATCATCTTAACATAGGGACTGTAACAAATCTACCACTTTTTGATGACCCATCAAGCTGAAGCCCAAAGTTCCAGAAGCATTGATGATCTAAAAATGAAGGTTTTTACACTTTAGTCTTAGTAAACACTGATCTAGTAGCAAATTGTTTCCAGATCCAAAATCTGCTAGTCCTCAGTTTACCAACAAGATTTTCCTGAGGCATGAATCTACATATTTTCCTTTAATTCCAGAAGATTCAGATTCCTGAGTACCTTTCTCTGGACTTATTTTGGAACAAAAATAATGGGCAAACCTCTGTCCAATACTCCTTAGAGCAAAGTCTCCATTTGGCCAATAAAGCTTAAGTCTTTTTAGTATATACTTCATTCCAAAAGTCTAGAACTCAAACATCAGCTGTGATTATTCCAGACATGCACTCATTTTCTGAGATGACCCCCAACCTGGGGAAGAACAGGTAAAATAGTATCTTGGAAGGCTAATCTGCTAAACATCCAGAGTATTAATTTTTATACCCATGTCGCTCTGGAGAGTCTCCCTTTTTTCTGTATCTATAAGGGTGATTCCGGGGTTTGTACCAATCCCCTTTGGAGTACCCTCTGTTGTGATAATGTGCTTTCTGATCATGACTATAAAAGTATCGATGCTGAGTATAGTATTTATTGTGATCTTTATATTCATTTTCTTTAATACTATTGTCTTCTGCAACAATAGCATTCACATCTTGTCCAAAAAGAGATGTACCATCAAAGGGCAAGTGTAAGATCTTCTCCTGGGTTTTCTTAGTGAGAGATGTGAGTCGAAGCCAGGCTTGTCTTCTATAGTCTACTGCCATGGCCATAACTCTGACTACAGAGTCCATTATGTCCCTGGTGGTACAAAGCTGCCAAAGTCCTGCATCCATGCCATCAGATATTATACACCTTGCTTTTCCACGATCAAACTCTGGATCATGAACCAGATCTTCCATGTCTTCCCAGAGTTTACGCTGATACTGAGTCATATAGGCCATATAGCTGGCAGCTCGGGCTGCAATGGAAGCAGCGTGGTAGAACCTACAGCCCATGACTTCCATTTCCTTTGAGGTAGAGTCTAAAGGAGATGTTGTGTTTCCTCTTTTGCTATGTTCTAGTACATCTATAATGGGTCCCTCAGCTGGTGGATTTGGCTGAAAAGGAGATGTGTCCTTGGCCACAGGATATACCCTGTGTCCCATGAAGGAAGAAGGATGGCAATCAGCAGGGTCTTTAAAAACTTCAGTGGTGGCAATTCTCAAAAGTGGATGCAAAGGAGGAACCAAACGTTTTTTAGAGGTCATCCAATCAGGCTTCCCCTCACATGTGTCGGCTTCAGACTGTAATGTCACCCTCTTTATAACACCTCTTTGTTCCATTCTCTTCAAAAGACCCGTGAAACTCGACTGCATGGGGTCAGCTGGCTGCCCTTTGTCATCAGCTGATGGAGACTTGCAGTCAGTCTCTTCTTCAACTGTGGATAAACTGTCCTCCTTAGAGGTGGAGATATCCCAAGGAACAGACGAGTTCTCACTTGGCCTAGAATGATGAAATCTAAAACAACTCCTGGACTGCAGATCACGTATGACTCGGGACATCTCAGCCACTTGTGTCTGGAGATACAGGATGGCATCCTGTCCATTCTGTGAAGCTGAAGACATCGTGATAGGTAAATCTTCTTTGACCTCAGAAAAAGCCAAAGACTCTTGGGGGACCAGAAGTGATGATGAAGGCAGAGTCTGACAATTTTGTGATTTAAGTGTCTCTGTTTCAGAGATATTAATATCTGAATTATTTTGATCATTTTTCTGGTTCTCCAATTGGTTCTCAACAGAAGAGGGTTGAGAAACCATTCTTTGCGGACTGTTGGCACAACTCCCAGAGGAGGAGCTGCTGTCTCCAATGGGAAGAGGAACACTGCAGCTAGAGCACATTTCTGGGCGATGATTCTCAGAGGGTGGCACCTTAGATTCAGGCATTCTCTGGGTTATCCACATGAACAAGAAAACCAAGGAAGAAAAAAAATATGCTTTTAATATGTTAACTTTCAAGTGCAGAGATGCATGTCCAGTAAGTAGAATTCAAATTTTATATTATTATAAATAAGAATGACAGAAACAATCCACTTTAGGTCGGCAAAAGATAACAGAAGCCAAATGCACAGGATTCATTACCCTCTACCCCATAAAAACTATAAACAATGCTGAACATAAAGAAAAAATCATGATTAAAAATAAAATCATTTTGGAGCTGGGAGATGGTTCAGAGTGTAAAGTGCTTGTCACACAAGTATGAGGGCCTGAGTTTAGATCCCAGGTACCCACATAAAAGCAAGGCACACAACTGGACATCTGTAATTCTAGCACTGGGGAGATGGACACAGGCAAATCCCAAATTCATTAGCCAGAGAGCTTAGGCAATCAGTGAGCTCCAGGTTCAATGAGAGCTCCTCAAAAAATAAAGTAAAAATAAGTAAGGTAGAAAGCAACTGAAGAAGACCCCAGATGTTAGCCTCTGGCCTTCACATGCACACATGTGCACCTGCACATACATTTGCACACATCCATACAAACATGCACACACATGAGCCACACAAACCAAACTTTTGATCTGCTGCTTGATCCCAGGCTAAGATAAGATGCTGTGGTAAGGCCACTTGTAATAACAACTAATAAAAGAAAAAATCTGTTCAATATATAAAAGGCAGCAAGTGGAAGATAACGATGGCACAGAAAACTTGAACAAAGTTCTACTGAAATGGAAAAAAAACAAACTTTTAAACCTCCCTCAAGTGGGGCCATTTTAAATCTCCTTAAAACTGTTACTAACTCCCCATGAATAGCCTTCCAGTTGTACATTTCTACTTTACAGTTTGTAGTTTGTAGGAACTTACATATTTGTTACTTCACTTCATCCTCACAACAACCCTGTGAGGTAGGACTTATTCTCATTTGAATTGCAAAAACCAAAATAAAGCAACACAACCAACACTAAGGCTAAGACGAAGTGAGAACATTCTCCAACTGAGCCATTCTGACCACAGATCCAAGTCTCAAGTCCCTATGTCATATAACAAGAAGGTCCTGGCCACCATAAGCAAGCAAGAGCCAGGAATTCTCTAATCCATCAAGAAAAGTTCGTTAACCGAAATTTGGGCTATGTGAGTAACAAATGGAAACCAACACAGCCATGAAGGGCTCCAGGAATCTAACTCTCCGAGTAAGGCATTGCTTTAAAGGTCAACCCTACAATTAGCAAGTCACACGTACCACTTCTAAGAATAGGGGAGAGAAAAAGATAAGGAGAGAAGACTGGAATTGTTCATCAGTTATACGTCTCCACATTCCATTTCCTAAAGGATCTTCACACATACTTTCTCCCAAGATAAATTTTCTGTGGCCACATAGTTCAAAAAGTAAAGAATTCAGTTGTACCAGATGAGAATTATAAGAAAGGGGAGGAGGAAGGGGGTAAGCAAAAAGCTTGTGGTTTTTAATTTCCCTTTTATCAGTCATTAGGCTCCAGCGTTAAGTTTCCTGCAAACTTAAGGAAGAGCTGACAGAAGTAAAAGACTCCTTAAACTACCTCTGCTGGCCCATCCTAAGAGAAATGAGTCTTTTAGAGCACTGATGCTCTTAAACACAGCTATTAGTGCTTTCCTCACTCTTCAGGAAAAAAACTCTTTAACTGACACAAGTGAACGTTTAAATCAAATATAATGTACTTACATCACTATGAGAGGTACTAGGCTCTTCATCATCACTGCTGACCAGATCAATATATTCAAGAACAGGTCTTAATGGTCCTTCCTATAAAAGGAATTGAGAAAATTCATATCATGAACATCATTTAAACCAAACCAGCATTTTAAACAATGTTCTTTGTTGGGACTGGATCTAAGAAGGAAGACATATGAGGAGCAGGAAAAACAATGAACAAAAGTAAACTATTCAGAGTCCTTTTTTAAAAAGTTGACTGAGCTAGGCATGATGGTACATGCCTATAGTGCTAGGCAGTTTAAAACCTAGGCAACCAAAAAAAATAAATAAATAAATAAAAAAAAAATAAAGCCGGGCAGTGGTGGCGCACGTCTTTAATCCCAGCACTCGGGAGGCAGAGGCCGGCGGATCTCTGTGAGTTCGAGGCCAGCCTGGGCTACCAAGTGAGTTCCAGGAAAGGCACAAAGCTACACAGAGAAACCCTGTCTCGAAAAAACCAAAAAAAAAAAAAACCTAGGCAAGAGAACTACAAGTTTTAGACCAGCTGGGCTACTGCACAGCAACTTCCAGACCACCTTTTAAAAATAAAAAAAAGGTACCTAAAAGTTAGAGCCTAAATCCCCAGGGACACAGATACTACGATCCAGGGCATTTCATCTTGGATGAGTATCAACAGTTTATTAAGATATCCAAGTTTATGAACCCCAGAGTATACAGCACAAAACATGGAGCTCTTTGACCAATAACTTAGCTTCATTTCCCTAAACTTAAGAGAATAAAACAGCAAACCTAGATTCTTCTCCAATCTTCTTCCTATTTTTATGTCAAGCTTAAAAACTCAGATCTCTAGCCGGGCGGTGGTGGCGCACGCCTTTAATCCCAGCACTCGGGAGGCAGAGCCGGGCGGATCTCTGTGAGTTCGAGGCCAGCCTGGTCTCCAAAGCGAGTTCCAGGAAAGGCGCAAAGCTACACAGAGAAACCCTGTCTCGAAAAACCAAAAAAAAAAAAAAAAACTCAGATCTCAATTCTATAGGCAAAAAGGAATTAATAAATAACATTATAATAGGAATAACATATTAATATAGGAATACCACAGAAAAATATGAAAACTAGGAAAGCAAGATAATGAGTACAGATACATAATAATGTATAACTAATACTGGTGATGGTAAAAAGAGTGAAGTATACCTAAGAGAATCAGGGTACAATGGACAAAAAATAGATGAGAAAATTCAGATCTTATCCCAAAGAGCCAAAACCAAACAAACAAAAAAGAAAATCAAGAACTCAAAGAAGCTCAATCGACCAGAAGATCACTAATATACTAATGCCAGCATTGAAGATATGCACAAAGGTGCCTGGCCAACAACTGGACATGCAGGCCTGTAATATCAGCTAGGAACATTTGGGAGTGAGGTCTGGGAGTTGCCCCCACCCCTAGAAGACTACTAAACTCTAAACAGAAGTGATTGCAGACCAATGAAAAGTCATCAGTGCTGCACGTGGACAAAAACACCGAGCACCTAGACTACATAGTATACTAACTACGTCGTCTTACTTACTACAGTCTTCCAAACACAGTCAAGAAAGATTTTTTGAAAGAGAAACACTAAATAAAGCAGCAGGCACATAAACAATACAGTAAAAGACAAAGAGAGCAACGTAAATACAAACAACAACAAAAACGTCTAAAATCTAAGGTATGACTAGTATATGCCTATTTTGTCAACTCTGGGGGTTAGCGCAGAAGTTTGGGGCCAGACTAGGCTAGGAAGTGAGAACTTGTCTCAAAATTTTAAAATCTAATACATTGTAATTGGCGGGGGATTATAAGAGAAAAGCACAACCGATGTTAAGAGTTCGTAGACTGAAGAAAGCAGCTTGTTGTAGACCGAAAGTAAGACCATCAAGTTCAAGATTCTCTTCTTCCATTGTTTGCTTTTTTCTTAGGTTTTAATAAACTATAAATTACCATCCTTCTGGATAGTGATCCAGACATCAAGATAAAACCAGTGAGCAAAACTATAAAACCATGAAATGTAATAAAGGAACTGGAATTTTTGCTCAAGCTGTTAAAATGAACATTTGTTCAAGAGGGAAAAAAGAAAAAAATAGCACAAATCACATGGTCAACAGAGCTGTATCATCTACATTAAGACTACAGCCTACCCTTAATACTGATATTGTCCAATCATTCGGTCATATGTTCTACTTCAAGAAGAAAGTAGGAAGATGAAAATACATATGCTTTTACCATTCATATTATAGTTTGGATTCTTCAAGCAATATTATCTAGGAACTTGTTAAACTGTATTATTATATTCTACTTTCTGGCTTATTTGTTTCTGACACAAGGTCTATGTAGCCTGGGCTGGCCTGGAACTTTTTTATGCAGCCCATTCTGGCCTCAAATTCAGTCCCCCTCAGCCTCCCAAGAGAAGTTGGTCTTGGCACACACCTATAATCCCAGCAAGAAGAGGCAGGATAGTTAGTTCTAGGCTAGCCAGGCAATTGCAGGCCAGCTGGACACAACAGAATCATCTCAAGAAAACAAAAATGAGCTGGGCATGTGCAGCACAGGCCCGTAATACAGGACAACTGCTACAAGTTCAAGGCCAGAATTAAAATGTAGTTTGCAAGCAACTGGTAGTGCAACCTGGTAGTGGAGAGTTTAACATGCACAAGGCCCTGAGGTTCAACCCCCAGCATTAGGGGAAATAAAAAGACTTAAGTCAGGTGTGGTAGCATACATCTAAAATCCCAGCATTCAGGAGGCAGAGGCAAGAGGGTTATTAAGTTCCCAAGACCAACCCAGGCAAAATGTTGGCTCAAATACAAAAAAATTTAACAATTCTTAAAATGTAGCTAAAGATACACAGGACGGCCAAAAACAAGAAGAGATAGATAAAGCAAGACTATCAGAACTTGACTACTAAATCATTCCATGAGATGCAAGTGTTGTTAAACTAGAAAAGATAATTTCATATGATTTACAGTAATTAAGACAAAATAATGAAAAACAACCAGGACAAAAGAAAACAAAACGGGAGAAGTTTACTCATGCAACAACTAATCACTCATGTACAAGGGACAGAATGAGACAAGAATGTGATGATTAGTTTTGGCTTTTACTTGACAGGACTGCGAAGACCCACCCCTACTCTGAGCAGACCACCCATGGCTGGTAAAAGGGAGCAGAATTTCTGCCTCCTGCCTGCAGACACATGACCAACTGTTTCCATATTCCTGTCACCATGTTTTCCTCTCTACTGTGGACTGTGGGCCAAAATAAACCCTTCACTGCCTAAGGTATGTGTCAAGTATTTGATCACAGCAATGAGAAAAGTAATTAATACAGAAGACATTAGAGACTGAAAGGAAAATTATAAGCATGCCAAAGAAAAATACTTACATATAAAGTAGGGTACACTTTTAACTAATTTTCACTGCAGATACAGAATAACTAGCAGTAATCCTCCTGCCTCAGCCTCTTGAGTGCTGTGATTACAGGTGTGTACCATAACACTCTGGTTTGGTTTTGTCTTGAGATAGGTAGGATCTCACTCTCTACAGTGCCCAGGCTGACCAGGAATTACTTGTGTGTTGTTTATATCAATTGCTACCCTCAATCTCCTCAGTGCTTGGATTTCAGGCACTCACCAAGACCAACTTCCCATATTTTATCTTTACTTAAAACTGTCCGCCATACTGAATTTGAGGAATCAAAGCATTTAGTACTCCACTTATTCTTACTCCTAATCAATAAAATTTATTGAGTCCCTTACTAGGCTTGTGCTAAGCTTTCTAAATTATACCATCCAATTTCCATAACTGCTTTACAGAGATTCTAATTATTGAAATCACCCTATCATACAGATAATAAAACTGAGTGACATACACACAATTGGTGGTGCTTTAAAGTATAAATCAAATTTTAAAAAATTACTGCTTATTACCTAAGTTTCCAAGTTAACATGTTCTTTCATTCAGTAAAAAACAAAACATAAAAAACACTACTGCCTGTATATTTATAATGTTGCCCAAATCAAATAAATTACTAATTCCCCAGGAAGTAATGTTCATAATACAAATATGAAGAAAAAGATTATCTCCTACAATATTTATAATGACTACTTGTGCCTGTATTAAGTACAAATGCATGTGGTCCTTCAATTATAAGGTATTTTTTCTGAACTTATACCACCAATTAATAAATCAGTCTTATCTCCTCTTGTACCAATAACAAAATAAAAGATTCAACTCAAAAATGCCACTATAATTTGGCAGCAGAGGCTCATGCAGAATATATTAGAAACATAGAAGGATATTCTAAGTTTTAAAATATACTGCAATAAACTATTTGCATTCCTGTAATACTAATTCTCAAAATGAAAACCACCAAGTTTTCTACTTAGAAAGAGATGTTAATACATTAAAATATCATCCACAGCCGTTTTACTTCAAAGAAAGAAAAGTTAGGGTTGTACCTTACTTCTGCAGTCCTGCCTAGTTCAAAACTTTCAAATGGTTTCCAACTGCCTACGTTTTGGTTCAAATGTAGTCCCTCACTCAAGATCTGTGTCATATGACCCTTCTTTCTCTCTCCCACCTTAAAAACTAAAGAAAATTTTTAAAAAATCTTCAAAATTACACATAATGCTGTTCTTTCATTTTCATGCCTTTCCTTTTTCTATTCAAAAATGCCATTTTAAATATTCAAATATCTGGGACATAGCACTCAACTATCAAGTAGAAGGTCCTAAAGTCAGTCTCTGCTACCACACACACACACACACACACACAAAATCAGTATGAATAACCAACCACTATTTATAGCAAACTAATAAACTATAAAGTCTTATGCCTTTCCTGTACGTGTACGTTGTCTGTGTATGTGTATGGTATGTGTGTGCATGTGTGAATACAGACACATGTGTCACTACAAGCATGCACATGTCAGAGGACACCTTCCAGGAGTTCTCATCTTCCACTTTACTGAGGCAGGTCCCTGTTTTCTGCAGCTGTACAGGTTCCTCCACTCTTGTTGGCTGTGAACTTGGGATTACAGATGTTCGCTTGCCATTACATACATACATACATTTACTTATTTATTATTTTTTAATGGGAGTTTCAAGGATAGAATTCAGGTCAAGTGCTTTTACTCACTAAGCCATTTCCCTGGACTCCTTGTGTCTTTTTTTTTTTTTTTTTTTTTAACATTCTGTGATTTTTATAGAAGCATTTTTCTATTGGGACCATTTTTTTCTTTCTCATTGCTGCACTAAAACACTGACAGTCAAGGATCGGATATATTTCAATCAAATATATAGGTCTAACATTCAGAATGCACAACTTCGCACATTCTAAGCTTCAATACTGTTTTGCTTAATGAGTGATTTATAGATATTCTAAGAAACTTGGTCAAAAGATGCTTTTGGCCAACTGGAAAGATGGCTCAGTGGTTACATTCTCACTGCTCTTCCAGGGGACCCAAGTTCAGTTCCCAGGAACCATGTTGATGACACAATACCACCTGTAACTCCAGTTCCAGGAGCACAAACACACTTTTTCTGGTCTCTGCACCTACACACATGGCGAACAGCTACTTACATTTTTACACACACACACACACACACACAGAGTTAAATATATTATTTTTTAATGATGCTTTCTGTATGCATTCTTTCTACTTCAGCAAGAAATATTAATATTCAATCTGGGTGCTCAGGTTCTTTATGAAATTATGTCTTCAAGTTCTGAATCTCGGATTGGAGAGACTCAGAGGTTAAGAGCACTGGCTGCTCTTCCAGAGGTCCTGAGTTCAATTCCCAGCAACCACATGGTGGCTCACAACCATCTGTAATGAGATTTGGTGCCCTCTTCTGGCCCTGTATACATAATAAATAAATCTTAAAACAAAAATTTCTGAACCTCTTGTCTTGTTATGAAGATTAAGATAGGTTCCCAGCAGTTTGTATGCCTTTATATCTAAAGTGGTACTGTGAACAATCCTGTTAACAGTTACTTAGCTCAAATTTTTTTTGGAAGGAAATAATTACAATAAAAGATGTCCTATTTCAAAAGAAAACATGAAGGTAAAGATTGAATAAAGGGCCACATTGCTAAACAGAAAATGCACGTAACTAACAGGCGGAAACAGAAAGTTCTACCAGTGTTAGTCTGTTCCCAGACTTAGGCACCGTCCTGATCTGCATTCCTGCTGCTGTGATCAACACATAAACCAAATCAACTTGGGGAGGAAAGGGTTTGGTTCACCCTGTACTTCCAGGTCACAGCCCAGCTGAGGGAAGTCAGGCAGGAACCTCAAAGCAGGAACTGAGAAGGAATGCTCTTACTGACCCTTGCTCAAGAGCTCGCTCTTTCTCTCTTTTTCTTTCTCTCTCTCTCTCTCTCTCTCTCTCTCTTTCTCTCTTTCTCTCTCTCTCTCTCTCTCTCTCTCTCTCTCTCTCTCTCTCTCTGGCTCATGTACAGTTAAGCCTTTTTTATCCTGCAAATAACCACCTGCCTAGAGACATAATACTCAGAGTAGGCTGGGCCTTCCTACATCAATCCACCATCAAGAGAATGCCCCCACAGACATGCCCACAGGCCAGTCCAATCTAGGCAAATCCCCAATTGAGGCTCCTTCTTCCTACATGACTAATTGAGGTCAAGTAGACAATAAAAACTTACTGTACAAGCACCACTTATAAAAATACATTGCATTGAGACAACTGGAGAGATGGCTCAGCCCATAAGAGCACTTGTTACTCTTGCAGAGGACCCAGACTGCATTCCTAGCAACCACGTGGTGGTTCACATCTGGGTCCCAGCAACCACAGTGTGGCTCACAACCATCCATAACTCTAGTTCTTGGGATCAGAGGTCCTCTTCTGATCTCTGTGAGCACCAGGCATGCAAATGGTGCTACACATATATACAGGCAAAGCAGTCACACACATAAACACAACTTTTTAAAATTTGCTAAATTTATTACCTTTGCAAATATCAAACAAGGGCACCGATGAACTATGTACTTCCCTGAATATTTCAACCAAAGTTAAACGAATGGATTCATTTTTGCATGTCTGTATCTGTATTACTCCTTTCAGCATGCTGTGTGTGGCTAGTCTACATCCAGGAGACACAGAAAAGTCTCCTGTCCGATGGTAGCTTACTCCTGTGCAACTGTGTCACACATAAATGTGTAACATAATTTTGTTTCAAATTACAAGCTAATAATCAGAACCAAGTAAATCAAGACGTTACATTATAACGTAGTTTGTATGAAAAACTCAGACAGAAACCTGGTGTCCATCTTTACTAGATAAGAACTACCAGAGAAATAGAATTATGTTACAAAGAACACAAGATTCTGTTTCTGAACACTTCTGTCCTGTTTGAAGCAGTGTTGTTTTTTGCACACAGCAGGTCTAAAACCTCCTAAGCAGCAGCTCAGACTGCCTTCCAATCCAGGATCCTTCTACTATGACCTCCCGAGTGCTAGGATTTTAAATGTATCTTAAAACAACATGAAGCTATCACTAATCATCATTTAAGTGGTAGCACCTACAGGCATAGGTAAAGGTTTATACATTATACATTCTTTATTCTTAATGCAAAGATAGAAGTACCTTTGTACATTTAAAATAAAATTTAAGTATTACTTTAAAATTCAATCAATAAACACCTGAATTAGCTAGTTACAAGTTATAATGGTATATTATTTCACAAGATATAAGACAAAAACAATTTACCTTTTTTTAGGGGGGGAGGGGATTTCAAGACAGGGTTTCTCTATGTAACAGATCTGGCTATCCTGGAACTGACTTTGTAGACTAAGTTGGCCTTGAACTCAAGAGATCCACCTGCTCCTGCCTCCTTGAGGAGGGGGCGTGTTAAAGCGTGGGCCACAATGCCCGACTTTTGAACTTTACTCTTTACATATTCTATCAATTTCTCAGAAGGCCATATTTTATAATGAAGAGTTACTCCTTTTACTCTTGCATGAAACATCATGGTAAATTTTCCATTCACAAATACATCGTGATTCAGAAAGAATCTGAAATATTTGTCCTAAGGAGTTATAAAAACCTTTATCAAACACATACATGTTGGAGGGGTAGTATTAATTACCCTTTATTAATTACTTAATTCTGCTTTCTCCAAAACACTTCAGTCTGCTAGAAGAAAGGAACAAGACACAAAGTATCCCCAAGACCTCACTCCAGATCCTCAAAGTTCAAAGTGCAAAGGATGGAGAGCAAAGTGTAATGGAAAAACTAAGAAAACAGTTTTATGAGGACTCCCCTCACAAGAGCCCATTAAAACACCATACACAATGGAATGCCACACTGTCTTAATGCTGGGTAGGATAAACTTTAATAATCACTATTTTATAGTTAGCCAAAGCTTCCATATACGTATTGGATGAACAATAAAGAACTATACAGCTTTTATAACAAATTGTAGCCAACTACAGCATTTCAGGAGAGCTGTAAGGAGCAGAGATGTCCTCTGGCTGGCTAATACTTGAAGAAGAGCCAACATACAAACTTAACCACTACAGGTGACCATCACCCACAGCGCTTGTCTCCCCTTAATCATCACTTTATGAAGTGTTGAGAGATCCAAATGTCCCCAGCTGTATTCCAAAATGACAATACCTAGGCTCCACCCTGAATTCCTGATTCAACAGATCTGGAGTGGGCCCAAGAATCTGCCTGCTCACACTTAATGCTGGAAAACTAACTGTCCCCAGAGGAATAAACCTAGAAACACAGAGCAATGTTCCAGGTGATGCAGGACTCCTCATTGTGACCAACAATTATATGTAACAAGATGACCTCAGAAGTTAGGGATGTCCTCAGGCTATCTTAGAAGCTACACACACTAAAATGCTATGCTCTTTACAGCCCTTTCCTACCTCCTCGAAAATTAACTAGTCCTGTGTGGCTACATTTGGAAGGCATTCTTGCCTCATTTCAAAACAAAACAAAAAAAAAAAAAGCAGTCTTAAGAGACCAGAATGTAGCTGGGCGGTGGTGGCGGCGAATGCCTTTAATCCCAGCACTGGGGAAGCAGAGTCAGGCGGATCTCTGTGAGTTGGAGGCCAGCCTGGTCTACTGAGCGAGATCCAGGACAGGCACCAAAACTACACGGAGAAACTCTGTCTCGAAAAATCAAAAAAAAAAAAAAAAAGAGAGAGAGAGAGAGAGAGAGACCAGAATGTTGTCCCAAGTACAAAATGTACAGACTTCAGGAAAGATCTGGGAGGTGCAATGACGTGCATAACAATTCTTTAAGCCACCCATTCTGTGATGCCTACTGTAATTGTTCCGGTATCCCTTCAGGTGAACATCCAGGTAGCTCTTTAGGTAAATGTCCTGTGCACCATTGTGTGGCAGCTATTCGACATTCATGACTATCTGCTGGGTGATGAAGCATTTGGTGGTTTCACCACACAATGGCTTACCTACTCTTCCACTCCAGAAAACCGAGATTGTCAGTCTCTACTTACACTAACAAACTGAATGTCATCCTCATTCTCATCCGGCGTCGTCGACTCAGATGCCTCAGGCCCAGCTGGTGGGACAGATTCTATTATCTATAAACAAAAGCCAAAACACGCTTATCTATTCAGCCACACACACTGGTAGGAAGAAAAAATTTTTTTTTCTTTCCCAAAAGGAACGAGTTAAGACAAAAGCCCCCTGGGGGAACAGCAGGATCACGCACAAACCCGGCCCACAGAACTGCATGGAGGCGGGTTTTTTTGCCAAGGCGTCTTGGAGCTGCAGGGAGACCTAGTCTCCCCGGCGAGTTGCCACAATTCCCCTCCCCGCCTTCTCCAGGGGCAGGGATGCAGGCTCTCCACCTCCGGGATCAGGCTGTAAATAAAGCAAGGACAGCCTGCCTCGAGTCGTCGCTCAACCCCTGGGGACCGCGGCGGCCACAGCCAGGGCGGCCCGGGGCTGGGGGCGGCCCGGACAGCCATTGTTGAGGGCTCCACGCAGACGTGCACCAGGCCCGGAGGCCCGGCCATCGCCCCGGGCCGCGGCCCAGCTGGAGGCCCTCGGCCTAGAAGACAAACCCTTCGGGGTCGGGCTCGGCCGAGCCAAGGCCCGGGCCGCCACCACTCACCTCCGGCCCTGGGTCTCCCATGTCTCCCCACGGCCTGTCAGCACCACGCTCCCGCCGCTGCTGCTGTTCCCGACGCCGCCGCCACGACTTCCCTCTCGCCCTGCGCCGCGCGACCCACCCTGCGTGAGCGCCCACGCTAGATGACGCCTCAGGCCGCGGGGACGCTGAGCCGCTAGACCCCAAGCGCGGCCTCGCTACCGCTAGCTTCCAACGCCGCTTTGTACGCTCCCCCACGCCCCACAGCCCCCCCCCGCCTTCCTCCCGCCCCGCGAGGGATCCTGGGAGTTGTAGTTCCCACCGGCCTCGAGGCCGCCGACCGCGTGGCAGGGAAAGCGGGCGAGGACCCGGAGCCTGCCGCTCACCTGCAGCTCGGGAAGATGGGGGAGGAGGTGGCGAGGGTCTTGATAGAGTTTTGAGTCCACGCAAAACCTCGTCCCGCTGCTGCCTTGCACTGGGGAGACACTGGCAGGGAAAGATCTCCCCTGGCAACAAACGGGGCGGATGGAAAAATGGAGGACTTTTTTCCCTTTTACATCTTGGCGAGGGTGGCCGATGCAAGAGCTTCTAGTCTATGGCGTTTCTGAGAGGTCGTTAATTTTTGCAGTTGTCTCCCAAAGTGGCCTCCTTGTTGTTCACAGTCTCCAGACGGCCCATGATTCCTGTAAACTAAAAGAAGCATTACTGCCTAGGTCCCATGGGGCTGCCCGTGGTCTTTCATCTTTCTCGCCTGCTCTTTTCAGGCTAGGCTGAGTTGGTTGATTAATTACTTGGAAAGTGGGACACAGAGGTGCGGGCAAAAGGGGACCAGTGGAAAACAGACCTGGTCGTGTCAGTTAACCTGTTCAGACCTTTAGTGAAATGGCCATAACTGCTAGGAAAGCAAAGCTCAGTGGTCTTTGTTTCGGGCCAGAAGGATGGTGACCGGAAATAATTTGTTGCCTTTTTTCTCATTCTTTTCCTTTTTTGGATGGAGGAGTGGGATGGATAGGTTTAGGTGAAGTCCAAGATGTGAACACTTAACTAGTCGCCTTTCTCACGTCTAAATAGCTCCCAGTGCTAGCAAGTACTGAATCTCACTGAAGGACCAGAGAGAGGAGCAAAGCTTGGATCCAGGGTTCAGTAGGAAAGTAATGGCCGCCAAAGCCCGAATACCTTCGTCACGAAATCCTAGAGCAGTGGTATTATAATGTAGCTTTTGAAGATATTCTCAGGCTCTATAAAATAAAACAGAACTTCTAAAAGTAACACTTGACTCCTGCATCAGTCAAAACAACTATGGTATTTAATAGTTTTTTTTAAATAATGACTTGGAACAAAAGCCTTTTTAAAAAATCGTATCTTTTTGAAAAGAATTTAAGAACGAAAATTATGTCCGTGGCACCTAACATCGTTCGTTTGTATACAAAAATACCATCTCACAGAGATATGCGTAATTAATAGTTTGTTTCCTGTATTACCTGTATTACAAAGTGCTCTGTAACTTCTTTTGCTTTCTACCTAATAAGTTTGAGACTTATATAGACCAACTGAGAACCAAAGATCCATTGTATGCATTTTTCAAAAGCCCTACTTATGTAAATTGAATATTTCTAAACCTAAGTGTGTAGACCAGACGGTAAGAAGATAAGTTCAATGGAACATTTAATTGGTTTCTGGTAGGAATTGGAGGGTCAAACTCATGGAAAATATAAGTAGTTTGTGACTAGAGCAGAAAAATGCTCTTATTATTCATTAACTATAGTTGCAATAACTTACCCAAAGGTTACGTCATGGGTTTGCCTAGACTAGAAAACATTGAAAAATACCTGACTAGTGATTGAAGCTTGGCTCTCTTGCATCTTACTTTTTTTTTGTTTGTTTGTTTGTTTTGTTTTTTGAGACAGGGTTTCTCTGTGTAGCTTTGCGCCTTTCCTGAATCTCACTCTGTAGACCAGGCTGGCCTCGAACTCACAAAGATCCTCCTGCCTCTGCCTCCTGAGTGCTGGGATTAAAGGTGTGCGCCACCACCGCCCGGCACATCTTACTTTTTTGAAAAAGAGGGGTTCATCCTGGACAGGTGAACATAAGTAATTTCTTGGAGTCTGGCAGCTATTGGAGTTTGCCTCTTTTTAAGTGACTTACATTGGTCATGTGAATGACTGTCTTGTAGGTCTTTAGATGTACCAGATCTTCCAGGTGAACCAAGACAAGATGAAGTTAAATTGTGATGCCCTCTACAAAAGTAATACTGTAGACTGACTTAGCTCCATTGAAAATGTTTACCTACGATTTCTGTCTACTTTTTTTTTAAGTGCAAGAGAAACATTGAATAAATAGAACCAACCCAAACGTCAAAACAAACCATGTACATAATAGAAAACCTACATAAAAATTAATGTGATTTTTTTCTAGATGCCCTGTTTAATAAGAACATGCTTGGAAGCTACCTAACAGAAGGTTAAATCAAAGCCGGTTTTTATTTAGCATGATAAAGCAAAGGAAAAAGAAAAACATAAACATTATGGACAAAACTTGGGGATCTGTTTTAGGAAATTAAGAAAGTCTTGGGTGGTTCTATAGTCAGTCTTGTCTGAGAGTGGAAAATTGTTTCTGTTACAGGGTCTCCATTCTTGTTTTCTAGAGAGAAAGAAATGAAGGAAGGAAGGAAGGAAGGAAGGAAGGAAGGAAGGAAGGAAGGAAGGAAGGAAGGGAGGGAGGGAGGGAGGGAGGAAGGAAGAAAAAGGAGACAGGGAGGGAGGAAGGAAAGAAAGTCAATAGTTAAGCAGACGTTTATTTACCACAACAAAGCACACATTCCAAAGAAAAATTAAATGGGCCCTCTCAAAGGAAGTATAACAGCCTAATAGGTTCTGCATTGCAGAATTTAAAGAAATTTTCATGAATATTTATGAGATGGGTAGCATAGTCATAGGATAAAACATTTTCCCTTCCAAGTCATGGTGTACTGAGTCTGGTTGCTACATTATTTCTTCCCACAATCATCTAGAAAAGCCCAGGATAGGCTGAAAATCACAATGTATGTGGTGTTGAAATGAAGTCAGGGTCTTCTGAGGATGCACAGCTTCCTTCCTTAGTCATATGTGTGGGCAGTTGGGAAAGTGCATTGGCCTTCTAGCCTCTAATACAGTGGGAACAGCCTAACTCCAGCTTCAGAGGAGTGTAACTTTAAAAGGTCTTTCTGAATATCAGGAAACAGAGCTACTCTGTATCTAACTCCTAGCTAGATCATTCTTTTCACAAGGAATATAGCCCCCCGTCCCCGTAATGGAAAGAATACAATCTTATAAGGGAAGAAGTACCCAGAAATCTTTTTCTTTAGTAACTTTTTCAGGTTGAAAAAGAATGCAGATTCTCCTTATGGGTCCAGTGTCCTTGCTCTGTATGTTAGTGGAGTAACTAAGGCTGGTTAAGTTAAGGATGGCAGCCTGTTGATCAAAATACCAGATGTATTTGTTGACTGCAAAACCTCACTGTAGTCCAGCTAGCCCAAGAAACTTTCCCTCATACTAATGCAAATGCATTATAAATTTTAGAATAGATGACAATGTCTCTTGAGGGACATTCTTTTGATATCTCAAAACTAAAATATGATAACCACTGATACTCTCTTAATTGATGTTACATTATGTGATAAAGAAATCATTATGTGATAAAGAGAGCCAGGTGGTGGGGGCACAAGCCTTTAATCCCAGCACTCAGCAGGCAGAGCCAAGCAGATCTCTGTGAGTTTGAGGCCAGCCTGGTCTACAGAGCAAGATCCAGGACAGGAACCAAAACTACACGGAGAAATCCTGTCTTGAAAAAACAAAAAGAGAGAGAGAGGGAGAAATCGAGGAGAAAAAACAAATCTGCACAAACATATTTTTAGCAAGACAAGCACTCAAGTCAATTATAATGCTCGGCTCTGCAACTGGTCTCATGACCTTATCTAGTATTTATAACTACCTTCCTCTACTACCCATTCTGTATTTCCTCAAACTTCAGCAAGCTCTTCAGCAGGTCTTGGCTCTTTTCCTGGAGGAGTTACCCATACCTTCATTCCTGGTGGGTCTGTGTTGTAGAATATTAGTTAAAGATACGTTACATTTGTTTATGCTGTGGAATATTTATTTAATGATGCAAAGATGTGTTGCATTTGTTCAACTCTGTAAAGCTGTGTTGCTTTGCCTGTCTAAAACACCTGACTGGCTTAATACAGAGCTGAATGACCAATAGCTAGGCAGGAGAGAGAGTAGGTGGGTCTGCCAGGCAGAGGAATAAATAGAAGGAGAAAAAGAGGAGGCAGAGAGAAAAGGAGAAGAGAGGACACCAGGGGCTAGCCACCCAGTTACACAGCAAGCCATGGAGTAAGAAGGAAAGAGAGATATATAGAATAGAGAAAGATAAAAGCCCAGAGGCAAAAGGTACATGGGATAATTTAAGAAAAGCTGGCTAGAAATAAGCCAGCCATTCATAAGAAAGAATAAGTCTCCGTGTATTTATTTGGGAGCTGGGTGGTGGGCCCCCAAAGAGTAAAGAGTAAAACCAAACCAAAACAAAACAACCAAACAAACAAAAACAGGTCTGTGCCCTTTGTCATCCTGCCTGGATTTGGGTGTTGTAGCTTCCCACTGACTTTAATCACAGGGGACACACAGTAGCATCAAGAGACAACCTAAGGGATCTCCGTCTCCTGTAATCCAGACATAATCCCCCTTACCTTCATTGTGGAGAAGCAATCTAATAACCCCATGGTAATGTGGATCAATCACCTTTCTTAACACTGTTATTCCTTTCTTTCTTCTTCTTTTTTTTTTTTTTTTGGTTTTTCCAGACAGAGTTTCTACATGTAGTTTTGGTGCCTGTCCTGGATCTCGCTCTGTAGACCAGGCTGGATTTGAACTCACAGAGATCTGCCTGCCTCTGCCTCCTGGGTGCTGGGATTAAAGGCGTGTGCCACCACCGCCCGGCTATTATTTCCTCTCTTAACCTATTGGTTTAAGGGCATCAGAAACTAGTGATGACCAGGGGAATTGAACTTCCTCTCTTAACCTATTGGTTTAAGAGCATCAGAAACTAAGTAGTGGCCAGGGCAATTGAACTTCCAGTTCACTGGAATGTTTGCTGTCTCCTGGCAGGAGCTCTTCCCGGTCTGGAAGCAAAGTTCTGGGCCAGCAGAACTTAGGTTGCAGGATAGAAAGCAAAATTTTTTCCTAGTAGGTCACGAGGGGTCATAGTG